ACACGTGAAATTGTCATGAAACACTGAAGAGAAAACTTGTGCACCAAGAACTTCCAAAATAAAATAAAAAATCTAAGCAATCTTTAAAAACCTTGTATAGGTTTTTAATTGCTCTTTTATGGTATTTCAATTTGTTACTCACCATGGAAGCTGCCATGGTGTTAAATCTCTCTCCAGGGAGGATCATTACCCCGGTCACATCAGCCTGGACCCCCTTTAGATATTTATCATGTGTTACAGACAAATGGATATGTTTACCTGGTCTGGCTGAGCCCCTGTGTGGTGCATGTATGTGCTTGTGTGCGGAGTATGTCTAACCTGTGTGCAGTGTGGAGAATCTGTATTAAATCCTTACTAGACTAATCTAAATGTACAAATTACAACAAACACACATGTAGCTCTGCACTGTAAGCAAAACTTGTGCACCAAGAACTTCCAAAATTTTAAAAAAAAATCTAAAGCAATCTTTAAAAACCTTGTATAGGTTTTTAAATTGCTCTTTTATGGTATTTCAATTTGTTACTCACCATGGAAGCTGCCATGGTGTTAACTCTCTCTCCAGGGAGGATCATTACCCCGGTCACATCAGCCTGGACCCCCTTTAGATATTTATCATGTGTTACAGACAAATGGATATGTTTACCTGGTCTGGCTGAGCCCCTGTGTGGTGCATGTATGTGCTTGTGTGCGGAGTATGTCTAACCTGTGTGCAGTGTGGAGAATCTGTATTAAATCCTTACTAGACTAATCTAAATGTACAAATTACAACAAACACACATGTAGCTCTGCACTGTAAGCACTGGTGTCCTACTGTTCTGTTCCATACAGGCATGCAGAGCAGTGGGAATACAGGCATATGGGTTTATCCCAGATTGAGCTTAATCATTTACCACTGTGAAGGAGACATGCATATGGTGAAAGTCAGCATTCAACTGTATTACTAGACCGTTATCTGTCTTTGCAACCACACATCAAAAATGTAAATGCACTGAAGTCAGATTTAGATGATGGCAAATTAGATTAGACCTTTTTAGAGCCAAACAGAAACATAGAACCAAATATGTGAATGGTTGATTTTTCTACATGCACAAATGCAACTAAATTGTTTACGATATTCACAACACTACCAGTTACTACAGACCTCAGATCACAGATGATCTACTGTGATAAGTCTGCCTTACAGTTTGCAGCATTCAGTTTCGCAAAGGCCCATCTTAGTTGCACAGAAAACTTCAGCTGAACCCAATAAAGATATTGAATGGGTAATGACAACAACTGCCATCAGTTTGCCAGCTTGTTGACAGCCAATTCTGGCTCTTTAGCTCAAGTAGCAAGTCTTAAACCTAATGAGTCCGTATCAAGCGCTTACAGATTATATCATACCTTGTTTCTAACTGTCATAATTAGATCTTTGGATCTATGTTTCTAACTTCAAGGACTGATAGTCTTCTAAACATTTTCAAAACCACAGGTGGGAACTCCTTCTGCCCTTGAATCAGTCTTTGGTGTAGCAGACAGGATAAAAGGTATAATGGACATGCTTAAATTTGAAACCGACCTTTAACAAGGCAGCTTTGAATTACAAAGGCTCATAATATTTCAGTGCAAACCAGTAGAAGGGGGTGTAGACATTCACTCAGCAGAACCATTCACTATCTCCAACCTGCCAGGTGTTGTGCACCACATGGTATAGTTTGACATCTTATCAATGTATTAATAAGGGTTTCTTTTTTTAATGCAGAGTGACTTCACATAGACAGTCAAGTGTAACCATATGTGTGCGTTACTCACATGGTGTTGAAGGACAAGGTTAAAGACTGGCAATGGCTGTTGAAATATTAAGCCTACAAGTCATGAGTAAGTGTTTGTTTACATTGCAGAAACCTAAAAAAGGGTAGATAAGTCCAATGGATTCATCTAATATAGATGTAACAGAATCACAGATGCATTAAAAAAAAAATAGCAAATCCATTTTGTTTACAGTGAGATTTTCAGTGGCATAAAAAGGCTGCAATACACTACAGTTTTTAAAATCTGAATAGGTTTTAAAAAACTAGGCATCATATACTTGCCGACTTGGTTACAGAGAAAAACTTCACTACCAGACATACTATACCAAATGTGTTTGAGTTCCTCCGACTAGATAGAATTAAACAGACTGATCCTCAGTGCCTGTGTCCATCATGCACAATGCAATCTATGCAAAAGTAATGGAGTGTATAATTATTTTATGAATAAAATAATCTACTATACTTCCTGCAGTTTTTTAGTATCTACTATACTTCCTGCAGTGGGTCTGACAAGGGTCTTGAGATGTGAGGTTAAAGGGGTCCTATTATGCTCTTTTACAAAGTCTTGATTTTGTTTTGGGTGTGTACTAGAACATGCTCTCATGCTTGGTGGTTCGAAAAACGCATTATTTTTCACATAATTTACATTATTAAAATACCTTTCTCCCCAGGCTGGCACAAACGGCTCGATTAGTTCCGGCTTTGATGAAGGTCCGCCTTCCGAAAAACAAAATGTGTTGTGATTGGTTAGCTGTCCCAGTGCGTTGTGATTGGCGAACAGCTTAGACGGTGTTTCAGTACTGTCCCGCCCCTTACTCCGTCTTTCAACAAAAGCTTTTGGCGAATCCGGCACTGTACTCACTCGTGTTGTGGAAGCTGTCCTCAGTAAAATGCGCAGCACACAATAGCAAATTGGGGTTATAATGCTCAGGAACAGAGTTCAAAAAATTAATTGCAACCACTGTTTCCTGACATCATCTGCTTTCGGAAGCCCAAACACAGACGTTTGGGCACGGAGGTGAAAAAAAACTGCGTTTCAAGCGTTCGCGCACCGGAGGAGAAGCGCAGCGTCTCGTCGCGCCACATCTTTAAAATTCAAATACATTATTTTCTATGAGTGTAGGCACACCGGTGGCGCCGTTCGGCGTCTGTCCGCGGCGCCCAGCTACGTCGTGTTATATTTGTAAGAATTGTTCTAGACATGCCGAAAATTTTACGCTACAGCACAGCAGCTCTTCTTCTTCGTTTTCTCT